TGAGCCATGTCACCAAGAGTCTCCAACCATTGGTTACGATAGTCACGCGGACCCCAACCAGGTAGTCTGCATCTACCAACATGGCTCAGACCAGAAGTTAGTGACTTCAAGCACTGATGCCACGTTTTGGTTTGGCCGCCCCTAACTTTCTTCCAGTCATCCCTAACACCGGTTACCATTGCGCGTCGTGGTAATCGGTGTTCAGGCATACGCAGCACGTGGCCCAACCATCTCAGTCGATGAAGGTTCATAAACTCATCAACTGATTTACCATCATTTCCTAATACCCTGGGTCTAACCTCACTATTACTTACCTGGTGATCCCAGCAGATACCCGCAATATTTCTAAGGCACCTGTGGTCAAATACTAGTAACTTACGAATATCTTCTACTCTTAAAGGCCAAGTTTCGCAGCCGTATAGTAGAACGGAACGAACTGCCGCGCAGTATTCTCGTCCCTTAATTGATAGACGGATATCTCGCCTTCGCCATAGATGACGTAAGTTGGCAAAGGCCAAGCGAGCTTTTCGAATCCGTGCTGAGATTTCGTCAGACACCAACCCATTACGGCTGATCAGACTTCCAAGATAAGTGAAGTTGTCGACGCGTTCGACTACTTCACCCCCTATCCTTAGTTCAGGTGTTGACGCAGACCAGTCCTGAAGCAACAACTTGCATTTGGAGGGAGAGAAGTGCATCCCAAACATTCTGGCATTGTTGCTCAGTGCTACCAAAAGACTCTGCATTTCATCAGCGTCTTCACCAAACAGGACTATGTCATCTGCGTATTCTAAGTCAATAAGTGGACCTCCTGGTAGGAGATCAATACCCGAGAATTCAGTCGATGAGAGCGTTATTTCCATCAGTAGATCTATGATGAAGTTGAACAAAATTGGAGAAAGTGGACAGCCTTGGCGGACGCCACTTGAGGTTGCGAAAGGAGATGACAGTTCGCCATAAGCTCTGACTCGACTAGTAGTGTTCGAGTAAAGAGCTTTCACAAGGTTTATGTACTTCTGAGGTACGCCTTTCACTGACAGACACTGCCACAGAACCTCTCGGTCTACAGAGTCAAACGCTGCTTCTAAGTCAAGAAAGACCACCATTAACGGACGCCGATAAGTATGCCTGTGTTCTAGAACCTGACGAATGGTGAATATGTGGTCGATGCAGCCACGACCAGGTCTGAAGCCAGCCTGATTTTCACGTGTTTGCAGTTCACGAGTCTTAGTTAGGCGTCCGATAATTATCGAAGCTAGTATTTTAGATATTATATTAGTTAAACTAATCCCTTTGTGGTTGTCACAGGATGATTTTGACCCTTTCTTAAATATTGGGACGATAAGTGATTGTGACCAGTTAGATGGAATAACGTCTAACTCCCAGATTTTAGCTAAAATATTAGTCAACCTAATAGCTAAAACTAGACCACCATCCTTAAAGACCTCTGGGGCCAATCCGTCTGGACCAGCTGCCCTTCCTCGTTTTAGATTAGCTATAGCCTTTTAAACTTCAGCTAGAGTTGGGGGACCTACTTCAATGTTCCATTCATACTGTCTGGGAATAGAGGGTAGTTGTAGAGTAGCTGAAGGCCATTCATTATCGATTAAACCAGTATAAACCCCAGCATTACTTACTTGTTAGTCCCGCTATATGTGGCCAATTCTTTGAAAGCATATATAATCAAACATCACAAATCTAATCGTTTTGTTTCCCGTCATAACGAGTTTTATTTCGTAATGATAAAAGAATACAAAATAAAACAGTAAGCACATAAAATGGCTATTGATAGGGATTTTGTCAGCACTACAAATGGGATGGATTGATAGAATTCAGAAGTGTATATAAAAGAATCTTATTAAAGATCAGACTGGTTGATTCTGTTCTGATTTCAACGCTTTGTGTAGTGTCAAAAACAGAGAAATCAGAATCAGCTGCTATCGAGTTACTCAATGAATGCAGGTGGACGACCCGGATCCCAAACATGTAAGGAAAATTATGCGTACAGGTCATAGTAGATTTATTTAAATATAATAGTTCAAAATGTACATCTAGATAAAGATTAGATGGAACTCCTAGTACAAACTGATTTCAAACCGACTAACTTAAGCATTTTAACAGCTGATTTCCAATACCTCACTGATCAGAAACGAAAAAGCTATGTGACCAACAATTAATAACCTTGCACATTTGTGCTATATTTGATTGAGCTACTATGAGACTACTCTTAGTTTGGTACTGCTTCAACCATCGAAGTATTTGACAATAATCGGTAAGTGAACACGATGAAGTTATATCTAAACAGTGTGTGTTGATAAATATTTAAAACTTTAGCACGAGATTTATTTAGATTATCTGGAAAATCAAATGTAAATACTAAAATCCTTACACAGCAAAATCAAAACATGTAACGAATAACTCAAAAAATAATAATAAATTGACTTTAGTATCCTTCCATTCAATGTTTCTTAGCTGTGCAATGAAATAGAGTTCATCACAAAGGTTGACCAAATAAAATGTTAACAAAAGCAATTTGTGCTGAGAAACGAAAGAAACATCTTTCTGGATGATAACTGTATAAATTATAAACATAAATGAGTCAAAACTTATTATTAGACGATCTAATTATTTAACCGTTTACTTCTAATGTCAAATAACACTAAGTTTACTAAGATTGTTTGAAATATGCTTGTTGAAGAAAATTTACTTCCTTAGAACTGGCAGAAAAACCGTAGAACTAAATATCGCTTAAGATTACAAAAGTCACTGCTTCGAAAAAATGGCCCTAGTTGCGTGTTTATACACGCACTAGTTAGTATGATTAGAATAATTAACTTCCAACAAGTATCAAGTCCCAAGCCCACTACAGTCACTTTAGCTTGTGCAGCAGGATAGTACCACTAGCTCTTGCACAAACTGTCTACGTCAAAGTTGATCGCATCACCATTTACCATTAAGAAAGCTTATCAGTCGATGTAATAAAATGTATATTATTGAATCTCTGATGTAAATATATGGTTTTTCAACAGTGAACCACAATTTAAAAAATAACAGCTTTTAATCTCATTCCACATTTTATTAAAGTCTGATTACATTAGAAATTATGCCAAATGTATCGATTTTGTGGTTATGTTTTCTTGTTTAATTAAATGTGCATACTGTTAACTTTATGCAAAAATGATAGAGGTCTCCAATGATCAAAAAATCATTATATATATATATATATATATATATATATATATATATATATATATATATATATATATATATATATATATATATATATATATATATATATCATCGCAAGATTTGAATCAGTTTTCTAGACTTCCGATCGGACACTTTGCTGACTGAGGTTTGAGACCCGAAGGTTGACTGCGTTTCGATTTCACCGATTATTATGAATTATTATTTTCGTTTCTTTTTAAAATGTAATTTTGTTGAACTATTCAAATCGTGACAATAAGAATGGTCAAATAATAATTTTCAGTTTAAAATTACGGGATTAATTTTTGTAAGGTTAACTGTTACTGATTAATGGAATACTCTTTCTTTTTATTATGATAAATAGTCATAAATGTGTTTTTTTTTCTTCATTTTGACAAACGAATCTATTGGCTCTTTGACTAATCTTAAATCAATCATAAGTTGAAAATTATCCACTGAGTTTCTGTGTCTTTCGATATCATAACGCAATCAGCAGTGTTGGTAGGTTCTGATTGTATTGTATACTATTTTTAAAAGGGTAGTTATATGGACCGAAATAATTATAGGCTCAAATATCACCATAGGCGGATTTCATTTGAATTGGGTGAACCAAGTTGTTAAATAAGCAGAATATCCACTTGAATTAAGTGTGAACAGATACACCTTATTCAGGTGAACTTCGTGAAAAATTTTCTCTTCTGTTCACTTGGACACTAACGTAATTTCTTACGTCACATTTCGAGACGGCGTTTACCAAGTAAGCGAATGTCTAGTAGAATTATTAAGTATCAATGTGTTTGGTGTGAGGTGTGGCAACTTTGACCGATGCATATATGTGCCTGGTCCTACGTTGTAGCTGACTGACTGTGTTTGGTCCAGAACAAATATTTAGTCAACACAAGTACCTCCAGCTAACGAGTTCCAAATATGAAGGAAAAAGAGTCGTGGATTCGACTGACAGCTATATTTCATTTATTAAATATCAATATCTATATTATGGCTTTATAATACGGGAATGGTGCGCAGCTTAGGACCTCTTGTTGTTTCATCCGATATTACTCCGTAAGGTCACTGACTTTATTTATACAACTCTCTGGTTAGCTTTCAAACAGGTTGAGATCTCAAAGGACAAAAGTTTCAGTCACTATGGGTTGACTACTCGTGAAAACATTACTTAACCACTGAGCTAATGTAGTTGATAGTTTTCGCCTTACAGGATTACTTTTTGAAGAAAATTTCCGAATAAATAATCAACTTCTGGAAAGTCAGACGAAAAATGGGCTATTTTTAAATGCATATCAATAAAATCTGAATATGAAGGGAGTGGATTGTTTTGACAAACACTACTTAGTATACCCGACTCATTTCATAGTTCTGACTCACCTACAATTGTTAGTACAAATAGTCGTGAGTAGTGACGTGCTAAATTGGTGAGTCTTTCTGTGACAAAGAATACCACACAAATTACAAATCAGACGACAGCCGTTGTATTTATCATTATTTATCCGACAGATTCTTATCAAATAGACGGAGGAATTCGGGACTTGAGAATAACTTTTTGTGTCGGATTTGTGATTCATTAACATACACACTCCCGTTTTAGTTGTATAATCAGTTATTCAAATTCCACACCGACAAGTCAGATAGCATAATCCACTCTAATACAAAAGATTTAGTTTAGTATCAATATATAAAACGTTATTACGTTACGTCTATGCTCAGACTAGTTAGTCATTTTAACAGTTTAGAACGACGGATATAAGAAACGAAAGAGGGAAAACAAGTTTGCTAACCTGGAGTAGGAATAAGACACCTTTGTATATGTTATCATAGATAATATCTTTTAGCTGTTCGATTTCTTGGTTTGTAAAGTGCTTTCCATTAATGATTTTCATTTGCTTGAGAAAAGTACTTTTTCCACTTTCACCAGTACCCAATAATAAAATCATTTGTCTTTGACGAAGACGACTTTTCTCCTTTTTCAGTTCTTTTTCTATTTCTTTATTGCGTTTTTGCTGCCACTTAATAAGTTCACGGTCGTCAATTGGCTCTTTTGGAAATGCACAACAAGCAAGGAATGACAAGGTCACCGACATTGGCTGTACATAAAAACCACGAAAAATTATTGAAAGGACAATAACACAGTTCAGTAACCAACCACACATATGTGCACTAGGTTTTAAGCTACACAAGTTAGTCAATACGTCTTAATGAACAAACCCGGGTACTAACTCAAGAGTAACCTCCCTGAAGTTTGTTGAACAGTAGTTGAACCTATGAGATTTCTCAATGCTTCAAGTTGTAATTCCTTTCAATTTTACGATTGAAAATAATGTTAGATAAAGTCAGAAACCCAACATTAAACACATGATTTGTGTTTAAAAACAATATCAGACAATATGCATAAAAATGGATATGTTACCAAAGCTACCAGATGATAAAATATCGTTAACTATAGCTAGTTAACACACATGAAACCGCTGATAAGAAAATGTATACAGAACTCCCAAGTTACTTTGTTACCGCGAGCAAAGACAGATTTTATTGTTCCAGTAAAGAGCGGTATAATAGTTTAAATTAAATCTCGAAATCTTAATAACTGACGAACTGTTTGTTACTCATTCTATCAATTATTGTCATTTGAACCATAAACATTGACAGAGGGGTTCACCAAGATATATATAAGCGCCACACAGTAAAAACGATGTTGTGAAGAGATAGAGAAGAGAAAGTGAGCATAATCAGAAAACAAAACAATAATGAATAGAAATTAGTGTATGAGAGTGAAATAATAATAATAGATGGAGTTCAGTTAGGAAAAATACAACCAGAAAGGATTCTGTCAGTTATTCTAGCTTTTATGAAGTAAAAGAAAGTTACCGCATGATCGCCACTGACTTGTATTTTGAGCCATGTCTGATAACGTCCCAAGACATTGAGGTGCACCATCTCTAGGACCCAAAACATGAAATCGTGAGGGACGAACAGAAGCCAATCCTGAATACCTTCATACCACGACACCATATCATGCACTGACCATCTTTACGCATTTTCCAACTAGTCCCAGAATCAGTAAATAATGCACAGCATAAAATTCGCTGGTACAACATTCAAAGTACATGTCTAAGCCACCGAATTCGACGTTTCAAGATGGTGATACCAATCGGATTATCATTTCTGCGCCCGAACACACGATGCCGAAACTCTGAACTACAGACATGGTGTTGCCACCGGACGTCAGCAATCCGTCGGAGACATACAAGCAGCTGTAAAGCAGCAGTGACATCTACTGGTGATTTAAACCACAGCGTTACAAAGAACCAAAGGATTTCTTCAAGGTCTATTGCACTGATGGATTCGCGTAAACTCATCCCATCAGGATCTGAACACGATGAAGAGCGGAAACAAATCAGATCTAGGTTAAGCAAATGTCTAAGGAACGATCGTGAGCAGTGGTGGGCAACGAAAGCAAAAGAGATGGAAAAGGCGGCGGCTATAGGTAACACCAGACAGCTCTTCAGACTCATAAAAGAAACTGGAACTAAAAAGTCAGGTGTAAGTGAGACTGACTCGGAAAAAGACGACGTTCTTATCTGCTCCCAGTCCAGACGTTTAGAACGATGGGCGGAACATTTTAAGGAGCAGTTCAGTTGGCCTTCAGCTACTCTACAACTACCCTCTATTCCCAGACAGTATGAATGGAACATTGAAGTAGGTCCCCCAACTCTAGCTGAAGTTTAAAAGGCTATAGCTAATCTAAAACGAGGAAGGGCAGCTGGTCCAGACGGATTGGCCCCAGAGGTCTTTAAGGATGGTGGTCTAGTTTTAGCTATTAGGTTGACTAATATTTTAGCTAAAATCTGGGAGTTAGACGTTATTCCATCTAACTGGTCACAATCACTTATCGTCCCAATATTTAAGAAAGGGTCAAAATCATCCTGTGACAACCACAAAGGGATTAGTTTAACTAATATAATATCTAAAATACTAGCTTCGATAATTATCGGACGCCTAACTAAGACTCGTGAACTGCAAACACGTGAAAATCAGGCTGGCTTCAGACCTGGTCGTGGCTGCATCGACCACATATTCACCATTCGTCAGGTTCTAGAACACAGGCATACTTATCGGCGTCCGTTAATGGTGGTCTTTCTTGACTTAGAAGCAGCGTTTGACTCTGTAGACCGAGAGGTTCTGTGGCAGTGTCTGTCAGTGAAAGGCGTACCTCAGAAGTACATAAACCTTGTGAAAGCTCTTTACTCGAACACTACTAGTCGAGTCAGAGCTTATGGCGAACTGTCATCTCCTTTCGCAACCTCAAGTGGCGTCCGCCAAGGCTGTCCACTTTCTCCAATTTTGTTCAACTTCATCATAGATCTACTGATGGAAATAACGCTCTCATCGACTGAATTCTCGGGTATTGATCTCCTACCAGGAGGTCCACTTATTGACTTAGAATACGCAGATGACATAGTCCTGTTTGGTGAAGACGCTGATGAAATGCAGAGTCTTTTGGTAGCACTGAGCAACAATGCCAGAATGTTTGGGATGCACTTCTCTCCCTCCAAATGCAAGTTGTTGCTTCAGGACTGGTCTGCGTCAACACCTGAACTAAGGATAGGGGGTGAAGTAGTCGAACGCGTCGACAACTTCACTTATCTTGGAAGTCTGATCAGCCGTAATGGGTTGGTGTCTGACGAAATCTCAGCACGGATTCGAAAAGCTCGCTTGGCCTTTGCCAACTTACGTCATCTATGGCGAAGGCGAGATATCCGTCTATCAATTAAGGGACGAGAATACTGCGCGGCAGTTCGTTCCGTTCTACTATACGGCTGCGAAACTTGGCCTTTAAGAGTAGAAGATATTCGTAAGTTACTAGTATTTGACCACAGGTGCCTTAGAAATATTGCGGGTATCTGCTGGGATCACCAGGTAAGTAATAGTGAGGTTAGACCCAGGGTATTAGGAAATGATGGTAAATCAGTTGATGAGTTTATGAACCTTCATCGACTGAGATGGTTGGGCCACGTGCTGCGTATGCCTGAACACCGATTACCACGACGCGCAATGGTAACCGGTGTTAGGGATGACTGGAAGAAAGTTAGGGGCGGCCAAACCAAAACGTGGCATCAGTGCTTGAAGTCACTAACTTCTGGTCTGAGCCATGTTGGTAGATGCAGACTACCTGGTTGGGGTCCGCGTGACTATCGTAACCAATGGTTGGAGACTCTTGGTGACATGGCTCAGAATCGATCACAATGGCGTCGGTGTATTCACTCTCTGTCTTCCTTTAAACTAAGAGATTAAAATCACTTCATATCTTTCTTTCTACGAACTAATTCTTTCTTCCTGTACTACCTCCTTATATGCAATCTTTCTTCTATATATTTCCACCACTGAATTAACTACTTCTATGAATCCGGTGTTCATCTTGTTGTGCTAATGCGGTATGGCAACTTGGACCGATGCATATACGTGCCTGGTCCTACGTTGTAGCTGACTGACTGACTGACGGTGATCAAACACAGAGAATCACCTAACATACTCAACTTGGGGGGGAGCTTGGTTTCACAAATATTGAGCAGAACTATTCTCCCTGACACACTGTAAATCTGAACTTTTAGAGCCACGAAGTCAAAAAAGATGGCTCAGATCAACATATGCCTCTCTGGATTTCATTATATGTGGACTGACCTCATCACTTACACCATGATCTGCGCTTATACAAATACTCAGATTCACGAATTTCCTGACTACTCCTATCTCTTCACTGCCAAAAGTAAGTGCAGACACAGTGTCATCCCGGTCTTATAAAGGTACCTTGCATTTCGAAGGTAGCTAAGTGGATAACGCGGTGGCGTTTGAAGCGGACGGTACTGGGTTCGAGTCCCAGAGAGAACATCAACTTTGAGATGCAGGTACATCCAGCTGACTAGTCCTAAATAGGACGAAACGCGCGTCAAACTGGATTTCACTGCTAGCCACTATCCATCAGCCCCCAAATGCCCTGATATGGCCGAGAGTGGGGGGAGTCCACTCCTCCTCTCGAAATGCTCTCACATGGCCACGCGTATACAGCCCCTGCCAGGGAAGTCCTACTCACTGCCTTCTCGTGGCGGGTTGTTGTTTACGAAAATGAGAGGACGAAAAGCGAATGTCCGGCGCTATAACCGGATCCCGAAACAATGGTGCACATGGGCTCCAGTATCCTGAAGAAACAAATGGCGTATGAACCAATCGTTGGTCACCGGCTACCATGGGACTGCATCTCCTCACGATGCTCCACTGCCTTGTGGATCAGACCTTCAGGTCAAAGGCTCGGGTTGTGGCCCCCTAAGAAAACCACCTGCTTCGGTTTGGGCACCCGGGCAGTATCACAGCCCTCACACATATCAAATGAGATCTGTGTGGCGCATATGTATTTGGTGCCTTCTTGTACCGATATCTATGTGTTAAAATAAAATTAAATAAAATAAACCTTGCATTTCGAAGGTTCAAAGAATATAACATACCCACGGAAGTTGAACCCCAACTAATTAAGTGCAGACTATATGGCTCGGGTATTATCGCACAGAAAGATAATAAAATCCAGATAATCAAGGGCGAAAAGTCTTTCTCTAGGCAACAGATCCACACCACTATTACATACATCCATCAGAGCTATTTCTAAAACATCATCGGTGGCAAAGTTGAAGAGGAGTGGGGAGATCGGGTCACCCTGACTAACTCCACTGCCTGAATGAAACGATAGAAAGGTGGTTGTATGGCTTTATCTCACCTGAAGTGTTTGTATATAGGGCTTTCAAAATATTAATAAACTTTTCGGGCACACCCTTCAAAAGACAATACCAGAGGACCGTCCTATTCAACAAATCGAAGGCGGCCCTAATGTCAAGAAACATTACGATTGTTGACCAGTAATAAGTATGACGGTGTCCTAACATTTGGTGGAGGGTGAGGATATAATCAGTATATCCTCGAGCAGAACGAAAATCAACCTGCTCCTCTCGAGCTAATCTTTCTCGGGTCTCGAACAATCCATAAACCATAACAGAAGCCAATAGTTTGGATGCAATCGGAAGTAGACTTATCCCCTGACAGTTGTTCCATAGGTGATGCGAACCCGTTTGAAAAACAAGGACAACCGTCGACTCATTTCACTATGTTGGAACACTCTGATTCCAAGGTATTTATAAACAACCAAGTCATTTCCTTAACCAGGTCACCATTACCTTTAAAACGAGCCGGAGGCAAGTCATTTGGGATTGGTGAGTCGTGGGAATTCAAGAATGGAAGTTCCTAGCGCACTTCTACCTCACTAAATGGATCAGTCGATACTGCCTATGCCTCGAAGAGTCATAAGACACCGGTAGAAACTCAATGTTTATAGGCAGGACATTTCGCGGAGCTGGTACCATGTAATTGCATCTAATGTTCATCTAGAACTTTCAGTGGGTTGATAGATAGCCTTGAACACAACTCGGTTTGATATTTAGTTGCAACAGAAACTGTAGCCAGTTTTGCTGACATTGATCTGTTAACAGTTGAATTTGTCGGTCACCGAAACGTAAGATAAGGTTGACGCAAACAGGCGCACCATTAGAGTTCAGTTAAGTACTCCAAAAAAGAGGTAGTTTAGTGGACAACCACACCAGCGGTAGCTGATCACAATGTGATCAATCTGGGTCCAGGCTTGAGATGCAAAGAGAGGAAGCCAGATAGCACATCGACGATGACCGTGCCGATAGTAAACGATAGCCAGAAACAGGTTTTAGTTTGTATAAAGTTGCAGCAGACGATCATCGTTACCTAGCCTGCGACAAACAAGTCCTCACCAGCTACCCAGGCCATTTTTCTCTATGCCTAGACACCCGACCTGTGCATTCAAGTCTCTGACCAGTACTACAGTATCTGTCGAGCGAACTCAACAATTTATTTTTGGAAATCAGTAATCAGTGGAGCACCGGAAGAAACAGTAAAAGGTTTACTGTTATCCATTTTTTATATCAATGAATTTTCAAATCTCATCAAGTTTGATGATGTAAAAGTATGGAAAGAGGTACAGTAGTAGTATGGGAATATACGAACACTCCAGGTTAGTCTCAACATTATGGCGAACCGACTTGAAAATAATCACTGTCAACCAATACACCTAGGTATCTTCATGTACATGAGTCAAAGACTGACGCCGAATTGCTTGAACGTCTCCATTGGTCCTAACTAATAATAACTAAAAGTCATGGAAAAGTATAACTTCGAGGAAAAGGTTCAATCCTGTTTGGTGGCAACTAAAGGTTAACAGACCTTCGAAAAATTGGTTAAAAGGACAGTAACAACTGTCTAAACACCCCTAATTAGATGCAAACAACTTAAACGTGTACAGATCCTACGCCCTAGCTAAACAGGTGAATTGGATCTTTCGGGAGAAGTACGGAAGATTTCTATCTGAGAAATCTGGGAGATGACCAGTCTGTCTTACGATAAGTTAGATCGTTTTACATTATCCTACCGTGAACTGAGTATGATTCGCAGGACAGTAAACGACTTTGGACTCGCCACATCTCGTCTTTTTCTTTCAACTAAGTCACAATAAATCAGAGGATACATCAGTTTAGCTCAGGAGACAAGAGCACACAATCCATGAGGTATATAGACTTTCAAAACTTGCTACCAAAAGAACTAGTTTCTTCAATTCTACGTAGCTTATTAAAGAAAAAAACTAGGAAAATAAGGCGGCAAAATACGGAAGAATTGTAGTACATAATCCTCGAGATAATTCCTTAGACTTGGTATATTGATTGCCCTGATAGCCACTATTAAATAAATCCCAACGGTTTATAAATTTCAGAAGGCAACATGAAGCACCGACTACAGATTATTAACGGACTATTTATTTATTTAAACACATAAACATTGGTGAAGAGACACCAAATAAAGCTTTCTTCTTATTTAAGCCCGTGGCTGAAAGAGCCTGTCAAACAGTTGTGCAGGCCCTTACCGACATGTGGAATGCAGATATGAAGATGATCAACTCTGCGATCTCGACTGAAAAGTGGAAAATTAACTTGGGTGCATCAATAGGAGAGACATGGACTCGTTTCCACGATCTTGACAAAATTAACTGCAAATAAACTTAATTTTAGGAGAGGTGTTATAAACTAAAACATTACTTGAGGTCTGTTTTCATATCTCAAATCTGGAACTAAACGATAGTGAATCTTGTAAAAGATCATCACTTTAAGTGGATAAAAACTACGACAGCACAAGAATTAACCGAAAGATATCAGGTTACAGGGCAGAACTTACGAGATGAACAGATGTTGCAAGATTAAGGAGAACTGGTTCTATTTGTCAACTGTGAATAACATTAAACGATGTCACAATTCATAGTCGGTAACTTCCCTTAGAGACATCATGATACTTTCATTTAGAACCTAGTCGAACATAAAGTTTTAAACATTGAAATTGAGTACCTGATTCCTTGACTATACCAGTAATGCAATAGTGGGTGTTTTCTAAAGACTCAAGGCGCTTATGAAAATCTTAGTGATACCACTAACTCTAGGTGTGGTTTCAGACGTGCAAAATTTGGGAAGTGAAACAAGCTTGAAATAGAAAAGAATGTGAATTATCAAACTGTGCTAAATAAATGTACATATCAAGGAGAAACATTATTATGTTTTAAAACAAATGAATAAATTAATGCACAACTTTTCCCGACCGAAATCAGGGAATTTTCAGCCATAAGGCCGAAAAATTACAAGAAAACATATGTCAATAAAAGCAATGTTATGACGGAGTGCACCGAAAGGTGGACAAATTAAGTCGAGACAACCATAAATGTGTTTAGCATACCAAAGTAACCTAACCGTCGAATAGTGCGCTTCTCAATCCCCGTCTTTATTTGACCATGTCAGTATTAGATCGCTAACCTTATATGACACTCTGTTGAATAGATCGACGAACAGAGCTACCACAATGTGAGAGGATACTGATTTATAATTTTTAGGATTTATTGGAAAGGTTGGTAGTCAGATAACAAGTAATTGATTATATGCTAATGAACTATATCAGAGATTCTTTATAAATCCTCTGTTCCTGAAGGTACGAAAAATTAAGAGTGTGTCTGATGCAAATGTACCACTGAACGCTGTTTCGCAACCTGACTAGTTCACCATTAGTCCTTGTGTGTACTAAAAGCAAAGTGTCAATCACTTCTATAAAGTAAGTCGTTATGGAAACAAAAGACATTCGAGATCTGTCAGTCCCAACAAACACTTCTAGCTGGTGGTTAGCTATTTTCCTAACTTATGTCCCATCCGATACCCCTTTTATAGCGGTAAATAAATCCCCATAAGCAATAGATCAATAAGTTTTTGAAATTTGATGTTGATCCCGTTATTTTGCATGAGCCCACCCAGCTGATGGAGCTCGGTCACGCATGCACACCGGGTCACGAGTGGGTACGTATCTCCTAGGCCTAGACTGAACGCTTCTCATTATATCGATAGCTTTTCAATGTGACTTTGAACCTTTTCATTTCTCACTTCTGATTATACTGGGTTGACATACTTCGATTACAATGGTGTTACTTGTAAAGGCGTTGTTAAACTCCGAATACCTGTGGTATCTCCATAGTTTGTTTCTGTCTTCACGGTAAAATCTGTAAACTTTCAAACTCCTCATCTTGTTTAACAGTTTCATAGGCGGCAAAATACGGAAGAATTGTAGTACATAATCTTCGAGATAATTCCTTAGACTTGGTATATTGATTGCCCTGATAGCCACTATTAAATAAATCCCAACGGTTTATAAATTTCAGAAGGCAACATGAAGCACCGACTACAGATTATTAACGGACTATTTATTTATTTAAACACATAAACATTGGTGAATAGACACCAAATATTATGCGCCACATAAATCAAATTATTTATGTGAGGGATAGGATATTGCCCGGGTGGCTAAATCGAAGCACGATCATTATTATTATTATCGTATAGCACAGGCCGATAAGCCACAGGCACACGAAGCAAATTCGAGCAGAACTGTCACTGGAGCGAGCTAGCAAATACATAGACGAATTCAGAGTCAAGTCAATTAATAAGATCCAAGGATATATATATGAGTGAATGATTCGTAGAGCGATTTAAGTAGCTAAGCAAGAGAGATGGACATGTGTGTAGGCTGTCATATGTGATCAAGCATACATGTTCATACACATGTAGCGTGGTGTCGAGTTGAGCTTGACTATGAACACCGCTACAAGACTACTTGCCAATAGACCAATAAGATTCCGGTAGGCCAAAAATCAGAAGGCAGATGATAGTAGTAGTCGTAATATATTTGTTGGCAATCTCGTGGTATCGAAAGAATACCGAGATCGTGCCAAAGGAGTACAGGTGCGATCGGCAAGATAAGATACGTGCGTAGTCAAAAACCGCGTAAAAGCAACGGAATACAATGGAAGACTAAAATGGCTGTTATTAGCACAGTTAAACAAACGAGCACAGTAAAACAGTCACTGGTACAATTGGTTATAATAATAATTGTTTTCATCGAACCAATCGCGTTCTGTTGACAAAAGTAGGTCACTACAGGAGCCCCCCGCTAGAAAGGGTTTACACTTTCGATAGTTAGCGGTTTGATTCGTGGGACTGATCGGCAGAAGTGCGGTTGTAGGACGGAGGAAATTGGCGGAACAGGAAGTGATCGTTGATCCTCGAGTTGCCAACGAAGGTCTTTTGCGCAGAACGGTACCAGAAGTGTGCTGAATTCGTTGGTCGAATTAGCATACCACACCAGAGTGGTTTGTATCCAGAATCTGATGATTGCGTTCGTAGGGATGTGAACCAGAAAACGCTGCAGACGTAGGACGAAACCACGTTGAGCCAAGAAACCGGACGCGACCATATAGACCAAGCGTATGCCAGGCAAATTTGAGACCAGATAATCGACTGAGTGCGTTGACTAGAGCGTGGGTGGCCAAACCAGCTTTTGCCAAAGTTGACTGAAGTCGACGTTATCAAATGGACGATGGTCGGAGGCGTGGGCTCAGGATACAAAAAAAAATCAAAAAAAGAAAAGTGTAGCATGCGTGTAGTATAGGAATAATCCTACACCGTATGTTATTGACTGTGCGTTTAGTCGCGAAAGCGTACGGGTAATCGTACTCGGCGACCGGAACGTGAGACGGTGGTCTCGTTCGTGCTTTGTGAGCCTGCGATCTCATCCGAGGTCATGGGCGGCGTGGTCTGCTGATCTGGACGTGAGACGGAAGTCTCGTCCGTAGATGGTGCAGATGACGCGTGCTGTTGACCGGGACGTGAGAACGAGGTCTCTGATGTATCTAGCGTGGAATCCGAGGTAGACGTAGAGATCCCGCTAGAAGGTTTGATAGGTCTAGCATTGAGTCTCAAGTTATCGGGTAGGGCACTGTCATCGACGTGTGCTGGTTTGAGACGATCAATGCTGACGATCTCGACGCGGCCGTGTCGATCAACCTTGAAGGTCTTTTCGTGACGAGAGATCACGTGAAAAGGGCCTTCGTAAGGCTGTTGCAAAGGTCTGCGTACCGAATCTACTCGTATGAAAACATGTGAACAGGTAGATAACTCTCGAGGGAGAGCGACCTGTCGATGTTGTATTCGAGTTGACACCGGAGACAGCGTTCGCATAAATGCAGACAGTCGATGGACGTAGTCTGATTTACCGAAATCATTACTGCTCCGTGGTGTGCAAAATTCCCCAGGCAGACGCAATGTCGTGCCGTATACAAGTTCAGCGGCGGAACATTGGATATCTGCCTTCAAACTCGTTCTGATGCCTAAAAGAACGAGCGGTAAGGTTTCGTACCAATTGTCGTTTTCGTGTGCTCGGAGAGCACTTTTAAGTTGGCGATGAAACCGTTCGACTAAACCATTCGATGCTGGATGGTAGGCGGTGGTGCGTATGCGCTCCGTACCAAGCAGCCGGGTCAGTGAGGAGAATAATGCGGACTCAAATTGTTGTCCTCGGTCAGTCGTGACAGTCGAGGGACAACCGTACAATGCTATCCATCGTTCTACGAAGCGGTGAGCAACTGTCTCCGCCGTGATAGACGTGATGGGAATAGCTTCGGGCCATCTTGTAAAACGGTCAATGCACGTGAGTATGTGATCATACCCATGCGATGGTGGCAATGGTCCTACAATGTCTATATGAACGTGATCGAAGCGAGCATCAGGCGTAGCGAACGTGCCAATGAGGGCAGCTAACGTGCCTGTGCACTTTTGATCGTTGGCGCTGTAAGCATTGCTTTACCCACATACGAACATCTTTATTCATGGACGGCCAGACGTATCGTGCAGCGATGAGGCGTAATGTGGCTGCGATGCCTGGATGAGACAATCCATGAAGGGCATCGAAGACGAGACGGCGATAGGTAGAGGGTACGATGGGTCGAGGAATACCGGTAGAAATATCACATAGGATAGTACCTGAGCTAGTAGCTAGGGGTACTTCCTGACACTGAAGGGACGAACATTGTGGTGCTTCTGTACAGACAGGATCGTTTGCTTGTGCGGCGGCCATAGCAGGAAGATCGAGCACTGGTAACGTAACTGCATTCGTCTGGATACGTGAAAGAGCATCGGCAACATAGTTCGACTCGCCTTTAATGTGACGAAGGTCTGTCATGAACTGGGAGATATAGTCCAAATGTCTGCACTCTCGTGGTGAGTAGCGGTCAGACTTGGTATGCAGGGCATACGTTAAGGGCTTATGGTCGGTGAATAAAATGAATTGGCGTGCTTCTACTGCGTGCCGTAAATGTTTGATGGCGCAGTAGGCTGCAAGCAGCTCGCGACCAAAAGCGCTATATCTCGTCTCCGTGGGAGTAAGGCGTCGTGAGAAAAATTCAAGCGGTTGCCAACTACCGGAGATATTCTGTTGCATAACGGCTCCTATAGCGAAATCTGATGCATCAACCGCTATACTAAGCGTGGCTGATGGGTCAGGATCAGCGAGAAGTGTAACTTCAGCGAGAGCCGTTTTGATCTCTGAGAATGCAGTACGTGCGGTATCGTTCAATTCTAATTTGCGTGGATTACCGCGTAGTAAATCGGTTAATGGTCGTAACCGTTCTGCCGCGTGAGGGATAAAACGTCGGTAGAAGTTAACCAAACCGAGAAAAGCCTTCAGTTCCTTGATTGAGGACGGCACGTTGTACTCCTTGATTGCTCGAATTTTGTCCTCGCAAGGCAGAATACCCTCTTGTTTGATGATGTGACCCAGAAATATAATTTCTGATTTACCCAATTCACATTTCTCTGGGTTGACTACTATTCCA